GTGAATTGGATTGTGAGACTGAGTTAGTCTGACCCATAATCATTGACTTGCCTGGTATGAGAGTCTTTGAAATACTTGGAAAGTGCCACTCAGCAAAGCTCAATGGATCGCGAGGGTAGGCAAAGTATCGCTTCACGCTGTGGTCTCATTGTGATCAGCAACATAGAACCTAATCTGGAAGTATGTTAGCACGAGGGGGTGCTGTTAGGTTGTTGGCTTCGCATACTGCTAAATAAAATAGGGAAACCGGTGTGAGGGCGTAGGACATTCCAATAATTAAGTATGTGGATGTGTAAATTTGAGGCATCTGTGATGCTATAACTGCTACCAATTGCAGACAGAAGCTGTGATAGAATAGACACAAGTAAGTTTCGCGTCGTTATAGTTGCGATTCCTCACAAGGTACTTGTTCGTACAACATATCGTACAAGCTGATATGTCGTAAATAATGTGGAAGTACTGTTCTTCTTGTCAAAACCTGGGTACCATGTATCAACACTGGGCATTTCATCGCTGAAGACTAGCCTCGCCACTGACCCAGCAACCGGTGATTGTGTCTATGAGCTGAGTATCGAAGACCGTCGAATATTCACAAAAATGTAGCACAGACACTGGATATCTCACGGAACCTTGTTGACTTTGTTATCTGTATCATGTTAGATATGCTTAGGCTTCCAGCGAAGTGGGTGTTATGTGAACTTTTCATTCATCGTTTATACTGATCTTTCCGTAGTTCATTTCAGCCTACTTACCTACGTTGCTTGCCTATTCTCTCGGGCCCATACACTTCTCAGTCGTCGTATTCCGATTCGCTCCATTCCATTAATTTATTCAACAAGAAATGGATCGAATGCTTCGACAAAAAGGTTTCGATGCTAATCCCAACACCGCGAACTCGACGAAGCAGTGGACCCATTGGTTTGATACATTTACTTATTTTTTGGACACTGTCGACTCACTACCGTTAAGCAAATTAAGGATTCTGGCGAATTACATTTCTCCCGATGTATACGACTACATCAAAGAGTGCGCAACCTACGAACTCGCTACCGGAACTCTCAGAACGATATACATATAATATATATATATATATATATATATATATCAAGCCGAAAAACGAGATCTTTGCACGCCATGTTCTACTAGTAAACAACAGGTGGACGAGACTCTGGATAACTTCATGCAGAAATTGAAATCACTGACCCAGGATTGTAACTTCATGACGGTCAAGGCAGAGAAGATCCGCCAAGACGCCATTCGGGATGCGTTCATAACTGGGCTTCAATCTCAGACAATACATCAACGTCTTCTGGAAAACGTGACACTCGATCTACATGCCGCTTGTCAACAAACCCGATCCCTCGAGATGACCTATCATCAGTCACAGTTATATCAAACAGAAAGCTCTTGTGGTGCACGTTAATCAACACCATTGCAAACATCAAGTGCATTGTTAGTCCAAATTAACGACATCATCGCTACAATATCGAATAGCAAATGTTTATTTTGCAGGTTCAACAGGCAAAGCCGATCACAATGTCCTGATCGCGACGCTGTTTGCAACAGTTGTGGAAGAAGGACATTATCTGAAAGTTTGTCGTCCCTCATAGAAAAATGCGAATTCGACGATCCATGGTTGCATATCCTCGATCAATGTCGCAGCGGCACCAAACGGCCTCTTCCATGCCGTCATCGATGTACTTGCCAACAGCGTTCCTCTAAAAGCTTTGACTGGTACCAGAAGCTCTGAGAGCTATATTTCCGCGTCGGTTGCCAAACGATTAACCTGGAGTGTCCTTGGTTCGCATTGCAAAATTTCGATGGCCAGCATTCACTTAACTAGTTTCACCAGTAGTCATTGTCTTGTCACTAAACGGTATAAAGACCGTCATTATACAGATGTTAAATTGTCCGTACTTCCAAATCTTTGTTCAGATTTTCTTAAGCTACGCCAAATTGTCCGAATTCCATTTTCTGGTGAACAACTCCCCTCCCTTTGTGTACACAATTGGACGCTGATGTGGATCCTTCCTCCTTGTTTGGGAACGATGCTTCCGTCTTCAAACCGATCGAGGCGTCACTCTACTGCGGACGAGAGGTTTATTCATACAGAAATATATAAGCTTCTTAAGGACGGTATAATTGAACCATCGGTAACCCCGTAACGAGCTCAGGTTTTAGTAACTAGGAACGAGACACACAAACGCCTTATGGTTGTAGATTACAGCCAAACCATCAACCAGTACATTCATCTGGATGCATACCTCCTATCTAGAATGGACGCCTTTATCGACAACATTTTCGTTACTCGGTGTACAGTAGTTTAGGCTTGAAGAGTGCATATCATCAGATCCTATCAGGACAAACGAGAAGAAATTCACCGCATTTGAAGTCTGCGGAAATCCTTTCCAATTCTGTCGTATACATTTCGATGTCACTAATGGGATCGCCTGTTTCCAAAGTGTCATCCATAAAATAATAGCCAACGAGAACTTGAACGAGACATTCGCCTATAATGACAACATAACAGTGTACGGCGCAACCGAGGAAGAACATAACCGAAATCTAGCAAAATTTTAAGAAGTCGCTCGAAAATACAACCTAACATTCAACGAAAGCAAGAGCATCATACGTTCGAGGAAAATACGACTATTGGGGTATGAAGTTTCACACGAGGTCATTCGACCAGACTCAGACCGACTTCAACTTTTAAGGTGCCTACCCGCACCCGCTGACTTCAAGTCGCAACAGCGTGTTGTGGGACTTTTTGCATATGGATCTCACCTTTCCCCGACAAAATTCGCCCGTTACTCGATAATCGTTGATTCCCTCTTCACAATTTGGTTCTGGAGCCGTTCGAAAAGATCAAGGAAGAGATAGAAAATGCTGTTTTCGTCTCCATCGATTAATCCATAACCTTAGTTATTGAACGGATGCATCTGATATTGCCATTGCCGCTATACTAACACAGAACGGACGACCGATAGCTTTCTTCTCACGAACGCTGTCCGCCAGTGAACGACATCATTCTGATGTCGAGGAGGAGGCACATACTCCTGTTGAGTCAGTCCGCAAATGACGGCATTATCTAATAGGTAATCGTTTACTATTTAAAACAAGATGTTTCCTTTATAATTCCAAAAAAGAGCGTAAAATGCAGCGGAACTGTGGCTGCTCACCTCGACAGGACCTATGCTTATGTGATCGATTAAGACACCGATGACGAGGCAAAGCACGTTCCACTGTCTATATAAATTCACCTGTAGCTGCGGAGCTAGCTACTTTAGGCGCACTACCCAAAGTTTAGGTGTCAGAGTCAATGAACAAATCCCCAAGTGGTTACGCAGCAGAATGGTGTCTGTAACGACGGAATCGGTTGAATCGGGAAACCGAGCTGCCTCGGCAATCACAAAGCACTTGCTTACGACCGGCCACCCAGTCAATCCTGATGAGTCATTCACTGTCCTACTGCGCGATCGGCGAGCTCACATGCTTAGGCTATCGGAGACAATGGTTATCGATCCCGAGCGACCGCCGCTGTGCATGCAAAATCAGCTGACTGTGACTTTAAGCCTACTCTGGTAGCGCAAATCCGGAGCTAGATATGATCTCTGTAACATTGTTGTTTGTTCATTTACATAACATTGCTGCATGTCTTGTGATTGATAAGTATGCACGAAATGGCGACGTTTTACTATTATTACTGGTCAGCGATGTGTTTCATCCATGTTTAACCTCGATCAGAAGGGCGAGATCAAAATTAAGAAAATTCAGCGCTGGCGCGTTGAACTCTCATGTTGTACTTATTACTTGGTTTACCGCAGCGGAAGTGATAAGGTGAATGCAGACGCTTTATGGTGCACATGTGGCTCATCACAATCACACACCATGACACTGCAGGAATTACATAATGCCCTGTGTCATCCCGGAGTAATTAGAATGTTTCACCTGGTTCGTCTACGGAATCTGCATTTCTCAGTCGAGGATGTGAAGGCAATGACCGCCAGCTGCAACATTTGTGCTGAGTTGAAACTCGGATTTTACAAATCACCTGAAACGCTCATCAAGGTGACACACCCACTTGAAAGATTAAACGGATTTTAAAGGACCTTTGCCGTCGGGGACGAACAAGAAGTACCAGTTTACCGTCGTTGAGGAATACTCTCGCTTCCCGTTTGCCTTTGCATGTAGCGATATGACCGCATCTACTGTGATTAGTTGTCTAGGCCAACTATTTGCAGTCTTCGCCATGCCACTCTATATTCATTCCGATCGTGGTTCATCGTTCATATCTCACGAGGTGCGTCGTTTCCTTAACCAGAAACGTATCGCGGTTAGCCGGACAACCCTCAGGGTAATGGGCAGATGGAACGCATCAATGAGGTTATCTGAAAATCTATTATCCTTTCGCTTAGATCCAAATGTCTCGAAATTGCTCAGTTGGAAAGTGCGCTGCTGGAAGTCTTGCATACTATTCGTTCCCTTCACTGCACCGCTACAAACGCCACAATCCATGAGAGACTCTTCTTGTACAACCGCAAATCAACATCAGGAGTCTCGCTGCCGAATTGGCTCAGTGTGCCAGGATTCGTGTTACTGCGTCGTTACATATATATATATATATATATATATATATATATATATATATATATATATATATATATATATATATATATATATATATATCTTCTGCTGACGAGTCCCGGGAGAATGAAACGGCCATCCAGCGTTTTTACTGATATCCTGCGGATAACTGAGTGCAGTATGTGACTGGATGTATTTGCTTCGGAATATTAAGTGTAAGCGAAAAATGACCACCAGGATAAGTGTCTTTGAGGAAAGATTCCAGTTTTGGGTATCAATATTCCGTGCAACAACCACGCCGCAAAGATAGAGCATTAACTACAGGGTAGACTGGTGTAAGATTCAATAAGGAGGAACCTCAAATGTATCTCAGGGTATAGTAAGTCTATCGGACAAAAAAGAACAGATGCACTCACCATAAATAAACTACCGGGATCGCAAGTGATAGAGGGGACTTGAGACCATGCTACGCGATCGAATGGCTGATAGGTGCATTCAGTTGAAATCGCGTCCGCAGCGTGGACGTCATTAGAAAGACTCGGGTAAATCAGGGACCGAAGATCACAAATGACATCCGAATCCAAATATCTTCCACTTGCTGGAAGCACGGCAGCCGAACGGCATCCGGACTGTGTAAGAAACTCTACCGTTTGGTCCAGCAGCTCTCTAAGAATTGAAAACAACGAAGTGTGAATCAAATCAAATCCTTCCGAGATGGTAATTTGATTCATGGAAAGAAGCAACTGAAAGTAGAATGGGTTTTATGGCCTACAGTACGGGATACCGAAGACGGCGTAAAATTTATGGCGGCTGGAACTGGGTAGGTAGTCAGAGGCGTTTAAAACGAGAAGTGGTGTTCAGCGAAACACGCGAATACACAGTGAAAAATTCTTATGTCGTTCATCAGCACGGTTGGATGGGACCGATAAATGTGGAAAAAATGAGTCACATAAACACCGTATGAAATAACGTATACAACGAAGTAGAACTATAACAGAGGAAATCGGTGAGCAAACGCTCATTAGAATAACCCACACCATTAAAAATAAGAGGTAACGTCTCCGCGGAACGTACAATATGGCTCATACGCATATCGTAAAACATTAGTTGAAACCGCGGTTACGAAGATGTCCTACATAGTGGTGTATTGGACGCAAGCCAACCAAATTTCGAGCGAAAGTCTAGCAGTATGCGACAAGGCAAAAGGGATAAGACAACTTGGCAAAGAAGATAAGTGGAACGTGTCCCATATGACTGTGAATGAAGATTTACGAATGGTATGGCATGGTCTAATTCGAGTAAAAAGGGATAGGACTAGTAGAGAAACACGAACTGTGTCAAATGCTCAATGGTGTAAAGTGAGAGCTCACTTCGGCAGCGAAACTGTCATGTAGCCGGGGCCACCGTGATTGGAGCACCCTTGAATCACCGAAGACCATAAACTTGGGAATCTTTCTCGGTATTCCAGCAGAAGATGGCGGGTGCGCTCAGAAAATACCCATGTTGACCGTTCAGGGCAAAATCGAGACCATCCAACTACCTAGTAAAAGGAGCAGTTGGCAGACCGTTAGATTAAAGGCGCAAGTTGCTTCACGAAGTCACGCAGGTGCGCAGCACAATGATAGACAAATGCAAAACAGTGACCGTGAATGAAAAAGTGAACTGAAAAGATGAATGGCAAGAAAAGCAGACATTTCGCAACAACATATGGGTGGCTGCATTCGGTTTCGGATTTGCCTGTCACTGTGGCCAGCCACAGGACGCCTGCGCATACAGAGGGACCATGGATGGCTTGCGCTGCACCACTCACAGCTCCATCCACACACCCCATATCCAGTGTAAACCCGAAGGAATAAGACCGGGAGACACGTGGATGGGAGCCACGTTTCATCAACGAAGCCAGCCCACACTTCTTCACAGGCAAACACAAGCACGCTGTATTTGGGGAATCAAGCGCACACAAGGCGGTGACTGGACCGTAGTCCGCTCCACACTGAGTGCATGGAACCGCTCTTCGAGCCTAGCACGAACACAAGGACCGTGCACCCGGTCCCCTCAAGCAACAACCCACTGTCTCCTGGAGCCAGCATGGACGAGGTAGTGGGTAATAGACAGGTAGACACCTTGTCAACATGCACATCAAGCAACAGCCAATCACTTGTAACGAAAAGATGAAATAAAATAAATCCAATAATGAATACAGATACGGTGACATAACTCCGCTAAACTACTATATGAAGTAAGTCGGTTAGCAACGAATCCGCGATAAGGGAAAAATGTCCACAAGTCACTTAAAAATGCTACAAACGCGATAAAGTCACCGAAGATAAGCGCAATTAGTGTAAGCAACGTGGCCAGTTAATAGAAGATTATTCAGGTAGGCAACTATATATATATATATATATATATATATATATATATATATATATATATATATAATGTGTGTGTCCGTCGCAAAGAGACTGGACCTTAACTTGATGTGACGGCTTGCGTACCTTCTTGATCCATTGAGCTATACTGGGTGGTGCATCCGGGTCAGTTGACAGCTACTCCTACTAGATTGGTTAATGGTAAGAAGTAAGACAAATTCAGTCTTCTGGTCCTACAGGTTGGGGTTTGATATGGGATGGCGTCCATTTCTGCAAAACTAGATCATTGCCACCACCCCGCTGTCTTCCGGACAGGTTTTTGAACCAAAGGTCTTGGATGAGGACCCTAATCGTCCTCCTGTTTAGGTCTGGGCGCTCTGGCAGTATCCCAGCCCACATACAACCATGACTATTTCTTCAAATATAAACTTCATCCTGCATCGGCCGTCGCGCAGATTATCAAGGGTCGTCTTATCTGCTGCATACAGCAAGGCGGATAAGTGAAAACATGCTACTGCTGGCGCCTCCTTTCTTTTCCACCTGTTTCTCTTACTCCTATCCCGACCCGCATTACTGACCTTCCTTCTATAATTCCCAGATTACTTGACATCAACCGAAGTGCCACTGGAGTAGAACCAATTGCAGCCACCTTCTAGCGACACCCACCGGACACCTATCGGCAACAGTCCCTTATAAGGCCAAGCTGTCCCGTTTCCATGGAGACGTTCGACATTCGCACACTAAGGTAAACAGGTCAACAGGCTGCACTCGCGCGCACCTTGGGCACACTGGGTATTGATGTGTGTTGTGTGTCCGAAACTAGGATCTATGACCCTAATGGGGTTGTTGAAGTAACTGCACCCGGCTTATCCTCTCGTTATTGGTTGCACGCATTCGGAGATACCGATGTAGCACTCACGGGTCAAGGTGGTGTAGGTATCATTCTAAGCTCCAAGGCTGAGCCATCGTTGGTTGATTGGATTCCGGTGAACAGCCGTTTGTGTGCAGCTCGTTCGACGACATCATCTAAGGTTGATTCACGAACTAGTAAAATGCTGTTTGTGATTTCCGCTTATGCTCCCACCGACTGCAGTTCAGATGTTGTCAAGGACAGATTCTATTACGAACTGAACACACTACTACGCAGTGCTACTAGTTCAGATATTATAGTACTTGCAGGGGATATGAACGCACAAGTAGGACGTCTGAACCCTTCAGAGGCTCGGCTGGGTGTTAATTATGGGTTTAACTCCGAACGGACTGACAACGGCGAGCATTTGCTTTAACTGTGTGCGGAGCACCAGTTATTTCTTAGTAGCAGTTCATTTAGACAGAGTGGTCGGCGAAGTGCCACTTGGCGTGTTCCTGTAGCTGGCCAGTGATGGACCCAATGTGACCATAATTTACTGGTGCCGTGGTTCCATACTGCATTGCCGCTGTACTGGAATACCTGCGTCGACCCTGATCATGCCTTAGTACGCTGTTGTACCGCCATGAACTTTACCGGGAGACACACCAAGTGTCTCCTCCGATTGGCAACTGAGAAAGTACTAATGCGTAGACGGATTCGGTTATGATTGGATTTGGTCAATCGCCATTAGATTCCAAGCCGCATAGGTAAGCTACCAATCCGGAAAAGCACCAGACGCGCGTTTCGCCCTATTGGGGGTCGTCAGTGGTATGCATCCATCGGATCCATACTGGGGATCGAACCATGACCGCTAGAGGCTAACCCCAACTAGCCAGCAGCTTATGCCACTGAGCTATGGGGGAAGTCTATTCATTAGTAATCAAGAATGTAAGCTTGAGCTGCTGGCTAGTTGGAGTTAGCTTCTAGCGGTCATGGGTTCGATATCCAGTAGGAAACCGTTGGATGCGCACCACTGAAGAGCCTCAATAGGGCGAAACGCGCGGCTGGTGCTTTTCCGGATTGGTAGCTTACCTATGCGGTTTGGAATCTAATTACGATGAACCAAAACTGAGAAATTGGCTCAGCTATTGGTCAGGCAAGCCTATCAAGAAGCACTGCGTACCGAACTTTCGCTGTCTTTTCCTAGTGACACTAAGCTTCAGTGGAATAGGACCTCGGCCGTCATGTACGACGCAGGAGCATCTGCTTGTGGCACTATCAATCGTCATCGCACCAGTCACTGGATATCCGTGAGGTCGGTGAACCTGTTGGAATCCAGAAGAAACCTCCCGGCTGTCGTTGAGCGCAATGTGACCACTAGGGTTATTAGGCGCGAAATAAAGCGGAGCATACGTGCTGATAAGGAAGCCTGGTGGACGAGTTGGGCTTAAGAAACGGAGGAGACAGGAGCAGTAGGCAAGTACCGTAAGCTCTTCCAGCTGATCCGCATCATTAGTCGAGGAAACAAGGCATCAGTGAGACAACCAGAGACAGCGCGGGTGCACTGATACACAATAAGGAGCGCCGTATGCCTCGTTGAGCGGAACACTTTCAAGATCAGTTCAGCCGGCCCCCTGTTGCCGGAGCTCTTCCTACTCAGGTGATGCAGGACGAGCCATGGACGGTTAGTTTAGAGCCTCCGTCGGAGGCCGAGGTCCGAAACGCGATGACAATCCTCAATCGTTTTCGTGCCGCTGACCCGGATTTCCTCCCACCTGCACTATTTAAAGATGGAGGTGAGATCCTCTGCAAAGCACTGACCTCCCTATTCGAACGTATCTGGAAGGAAGAGTGTCTCTGCTGAATGGAACGAATCGATTATAGTGGCAATATACAAGAAGGGTAGTCGCACAGAATGTTCTAATCACAGGGATATTAGCCCAACGCCAGGTTTTACAAAATTACTGGCCTCAATTGTTGTTCGTAGCCTAAATGTGGAACTGGAACCTTGAATTGGGGAAGAGTACGCACGTTTCCGCCCAGGACGTGGCTGCATAGACCATATATTCACTTTGCGGCAGGTGCTAGAGCAGCGCCACGCATACTGCAAACCGACAATAGCTCTGTTCCTCGATTTCAAGAGTGCGTTCGATCAAATCTGTTCGACATACTTGCGCGGAAAGGTGTTCCTACGAAATATGTGAACAACCTAGGTGCCCTACAGTAGAACACTACAGACCGCGTCAGAATCTACGGCGACCGCTCGGATAGCTTTCCGACCACAAGTGGCGTTCGACAGGGTTGTCCGATTTCCCCATTTTTGTTCAATTTCGTCGTGGATTCTATCATGGAGTGTTCCCTTGCAGAATCTCACGATGTGGGCGTTGAAGTGCTGCCTGGTGAAAGAGTAATTGATCTTGTTTATGCGGACGATATCATCTTGCATTTCGACGATGTTGCGGCGACACAATCAACCCTAAATAAACTGTCTAGAGCGGTCCCATATTTGGTATGCACATCGCATCTTCCAAATGTAAAGTGTTGCTGCAGGACCAGCAGCCACTCGATGACCCCTTGATCCTTGCTAACGAGGAACTAGAGGTGGTTGATCACTTACCTTGTCAGCTGCATCAGCAGCGATGGGCGCATAGAAATTGACGTCAGCTCACGTATTGCAAAGGCCAGAGCTGCCTTCTTGAACCTGCGTCATCTTGGGCGACAGAAGGGAGTTTCTCTCCGTCTGAAAGGCCGTGTATTCAAGGCCACAGTGAGGGCCGTTCTGCTCTATGGTAGTGAAACTTGGCCCCTTCGGTCTGGAGATCTGAGGCGCCTTCAAGTCTTTGATCATCGTTGTCTGCGAAGCATTGCTGGGGTCGGATGGCACCAGCTTGACCGCAACGATGAGGTGCGTAGGCGAGTACTAGGTAGTGATAATCATGCTAGCTCCCTAGAACAACAGATAGCACTGAATAAGTTGCGTTGGCTCGGGCACGTGCTACGCATGCTTGGTCACCGCTTACCTAGGAGGGCCTTGTTTAGTCTGCCAGGTGTAGGGTGGCGCAAGGCTCGAGGTGGACAAAAGTTGACTTGGCAGCGGGAAATGAAGTCACTGACGAGCAAATTGGGTGCCGTTGGTCCGTCTCGCCTTCCGGGCTGGAGTCCAGGTGACTCCTTTTGTGCTTGGATCGATACTTTACAGGACATGGCTGGCAACCGACACCAGTGGCGCCTCTGCTGCCGTTTCCTAGTCGGACTGCCTGTTTAAAGTGTGTTTGGTGCTGCGGCATAATGGTTGATTATGACGCGGGGCAGTGAAAGACG